TTTTGGAATGTTTTCAGTTGCTTAGAACCTTTTTGATTTCCCGATCATTTTACCGAAAACCTGTTACAGCTCACACTGATGCAATACACAGTTTTTATTCAAGCCGCTCATAGTTTCTAATTTGCAGGGCCAAAAATTGACACATACAAGGCCGTAACAAAAGCTGGTGGCACAGGTATCGATCCAACAAATCTTTGTGAATAAAATTTTAAATGTTTTCTAAAAAACTTTTCAAAAATGTCTCCTGCAAAAATCTCGGCTATGCTGCTTCACTGCAAGTAGTGCGTGAATGCGAGTGTTTCCGGTTAACACTTGCTGTCACCGGGACTATTTAGGAGTGTTACCGCTTCTGGTGGGAAGTGAATACGAAAAGAGTTTTGGCTTAACTTTTAATTTTTCGCTGAATTTGTTAAATACTTTTGTTTTTACACTGAGTAGAGTCAAAACTTCTTCCTTGCTTTTCTCGAAGAGCAGAAGCATTAAGGAGTAGCTGGAGTGCTGTACAATGCAAGCACCAACCATCCGCTGGCAAGGCTGCTGATAGCCCCTTCACTTGATGGTTTTGAAATATCAGATGATGACTATTTTGACACAGAATATACCCCATACCATTTCATCATTATTTTATCTTCTTTTTGCATCATTAATGTAACACAAAACGCACTTAGGCGATGTGCCTCAATATAATTCTGATCCGGAACTGCACAAACTAGGAATCTGAAATTTTGTGAGCACAATCCCAGCAACTGCATAGGGCCTTAATCGTCAAATCAACTTTGATTTCAAGTCCCAACCTGAACAGGTTTCATAACCTCGAAACCAAAGAATTCACAAACCTAATATTTTCGGGAGAAGGTCTTTGACTGGGTTGCCAAAACCGCACTCTTTTTATGATAATTTTTGCGTGTTAGCTTGTACCTCCAAATCTAGATCCGTGTTTATTGTACGGCCTGAAAACTCGTTGCTTTAAGCATTAAATTTCTTACAATGCCAATTATTTGTAGTGATATTTTCGGTATTCCCTCATTCAGTCTTTCGCTATAAAATAGAACAGTTTAAAACAAAGCATTTTTTACCATTGTTAAAGTATCTGTGCTGCTTGCATTTCCACTTCAGTAGCATAAGTAGCACTGGTATTACGGGTAACTGTAAAATTATTTCTATTATGCGTAGTTTGTACGTCCGCGCAGTGTTCCACCGATGAATGGTTCAGGAGATCCGACAATCCGCATAATTGTTGCATTCACTCGTTACGCTTGTCTTCTTGCTGCTGCTATGTGTACGGAGGTGTTTGTTCTGAATGCCGTACAACCGTCAGAACTTTTCCCAACACCAGTTCGCAGTGCTGGCATTGCTTTCATACAAATATTTAATCGTCTGGGCACAATTGTTAGCCCGCTCGTCTTCATACCGGTGAGTATTACTGTATTAGACACAACATAACTTCGTACAGTGGACATCGGTGTAGATACTTCCGCTACTTTTGTGCAAATGGTTATGTAAAAAAACACATCTTGTCAAGATTTTGCCTCAGTTTTTTTGCATTTCTCCTTTTCCATTCTAATCACACAATTTAACCTCAGGACTATTTAACTTCGGAATGTAAAAATGGTGTCGAAAACTTAGCCATGACTGTGCGTCAGGTCACAAATTAGCGACTGATTGCGTCTCTTTTTGATACCTCATCCAGTTTCCCCCACCACTCTGTTCCTCTTTCACCGCTTTCCCACGTTTCCCTTTCCCTACTGTTTCTTTCTGTTAAAACGTAGAATCCTAAGAGTGTTACCACATACCTATTTTTTCTAGGACAGTTCCACGTTCATTCAACCATTACCGCGATAATTTGATGCCATATAGGCACCACGTAAAGGCAGCGGTGAAGGCAAAGATTCCATTTACCCAGTGCGCTTTATGTCCTGTACTTGGCAAGAGTTGGCCACATATTTCTCGAATTGACACTAAATGGTGGAACTTCCATTCTGACCGTGAAAATTTCAGAGCAAGCATTGGCCACCAGCACCGTTCTTGTTGATGCTTCTGACAAGTACAACGGATTTTCTTCTCTACTTTTTTCTTATTCCGGAAACCCGAGGAAAAAAGCTTCCGGATCATATGCCTGGAGAAACAGACAGCGCTTCCGAAAATCGGTCTACAAGCACCACGGTAACCAAAGGTGGTGATACAAAGGAAACCAACAAGGAAAGCAAACAAGAGACCAATAAAGAAACCGGCAAAGAAACCAAAGATGAAAGCAGAAACACAGGAAGCAAAGGAGAAAGTAATGAAGGGGACAAAAAGAGCAAAGAAGGTGAAAAAAGGGAGAAATAGAAAAAAGCAATTAAAAATGATACAAATCCTTAATTTTAATTTGATAAAATGTTATCAGCGTTTAAGAAACCATTGTATTACACAGTACTTTGCATAAACAGTAAGATAGAAAATACAAAATAAATCACTAGCCATGCGCACCAGACGGGCCCGTGGGATTATGCGTTTTTTGCAGTATTTCGTGCTGTAAAAAGCTTTGAATCTCAGCAGCAAGAATTTGCGGAACACTGGTCCTCGAAGTTTGGGAGGTTAATTGTGGAACTACACAGTATTTGGACAAGGAAATTGCCGCTAAAATTTCAGCCTTCTAACTTTTCCAACTCCCGAGTTAGCAATTTTTCTGCCGAAAATCTTCACGGGACTGCACATGAGAACTATGCACATCTGGGAAATGAGTTTGAAATCTTGAATTTTTACGTGGGCTGGGAACATCTCCTTAAAATTTCCGCTTCCCAGCTTTCCTGACTCCCAAGTTAGCGATTTTCCCGCCAAAATTTTCAGACGCTCGCATGCGGGGCCCACACGTACGTGGGGGTGGTACTGCGGACGTGGGGTGGTATTTGGCTGACAAACTTGCTGGCAAAGTTTCTGCGCGGAAGCTTGCTCAGTTGCCGAGTTGAAACACCCAGACAAAGACACACACAAAAATAAACTCATACACACACACACACACACAC